ACTCTTGAGGCTGAAGCAGGAGGATCATCGAGAGTTTGAGGCCAGCCTGGGCTACAGAGTGAGTTCAAGCCCAGCCCAGTCTGAGCCCAAACTACATAGCAAGACCCTGTTTCATAAAATAAAAAAACAAAAATCAAGACCCAACTTTTATAATTGCCTGTGCAGCTATCTTTATTTCTTCATATGGCTTCAAGTTACTATCTGGTGTCATCTCATTTCACCATAAAGAACTTCCTTAAACACTTCTTTCTTGCTCTTTTTTTTAAATATCCCTTGAGTATTTCTTTTTTTTTTTTTTTTTGAGACAAGGTCTCACTGTGTAACCCAGGCTGGCCTTGAACTCACTATGTAGCACAGGATGGCCTCAAACTCACGGTGACTCTCCTGCCTCAGTCTCCAGAGTGCTGGCATCGCAGATGTGCGCCACCATGCTTGGTTTCTCTTTTGTTTTTCCCACTCTGCTATGATTTGAATGTTCCCACCAAAACTTAAGTTGATTTTTTTTTCTTATGTTGAAATTTAACCCTCACTGGGAGGTAGTAAGAACTGGGACAGGAGGGACCTTTGGAGATGATTAGGCTGTAAGGGCTCCATCCTCTTGAATTAATGGATTCATGGGTTACTGAGTTATCCTGAGAATGGATCTGTGATAAAAACCAATTTGGCTATCTTCTGTATGCATCCTTCTACCATGGGAGGCCCTGCGCCATACCTTTGGACTCCGGTCTCTACCAGCAGAGCTGGCTCCTCATCTTTGCACTTCTCAGCCTTCAAAACCATAAACTACAGCACTTGGGAGGCTGAGGCAGGAGGATCATAACAAGTTCAAGCCCAACCTGAACTACAAAGTGAGTTCAAGGCCAGCCAGATCTACATAGTGATACCTTGTCTCAAAAAACAAAAACAAAAACAAAACAAAACCATAAACTGGATAAACATTTATTCTTTATTACTTTTCTAGTCTGTCATATGAAGTTGTAGCAACAAAAATACAGACACGCTCTTTTCTGCCTCTTCTAGTTTTAACATTTATATGGTTCTATTTTCTCTCCTCCCTTATATCAATTTTACTTTTTATAAAAACTTTTTAAAAGCCAAGTGCAGTGATGCACATGTGTAATGCAAGCTACTCAGCAGGCTGAGACAGGAAGATTGCAAGTTCAAGGCAAACCTGGGCCATTTAGTGAGACTTTGTCTCAAAACAAAAAATAAAAAGGGCTGGAGATGGAGCAAGGCAGGAGATAGCCAAGGAAATGTCTGGAAAAAAAAGGGAGGACTGCCTTGGAGCTTGCTTTCTGGGCTACAGCCAACTTCTGAGTTAAACATTTAGCCCAATACCAGGTTATTCAGGACTAAATACTGTACAATGAGAGAAAGTAATCAGGTGTCTTCATTACTTTCTCATTGCTGAGACACAATACGGGACACTCATAAATTAAAGAAGGAGAGGTATATTTTGACTCACAGTTTGTAGAGGTTTCAGCCTGTAGTTAGCTGGCTCCAAGGCATGGAAGCATGGTAAAGGGGCCTGGCAGAGGAGAAAAAGCTCATGGCAGGCAGGCAAGAAGCAGAGAGGGATCAAGGGAGGAGGAGGGAGACAGACCCTTCCAGGCCACACCCTCAGTGATCATGTCCTCCAACCAGGCTTTACCTCCCAACATCACATTTAGCTGTAAACTCACCAGTGGACTGATCCATTGCTAAGCATCATGCCCCTGTGATCACCTCCCAAAAGCCCCACCATGAGCACACGATGCTTTGGGGAGACATCCAGATATAAACCATAACACCAGGTAATCAGCTTATACACAATGCCTCCAGATGTGCAGCCCACTGGTCTTCAGCTACCCTTGGCTGATCCCAGCCCTAATTACCATGTCACTGATTATGCAGTTCACACACACACACACACACACACACACACACACACACACCTCTCCTAGGCTTTGAACACCATGACAGTTCCTCCAAGGGCCATAAATAGTCAAAAACTCAACTGAGCATGATGGTGCATGCCTGTACTCCTAGCACTCAAGAGGCTGAGGCAGAAAGATTTCTCTGAGTTCAGGCCAGCCTAAACTACATAGCGAGACCCTATGCCAAAAGAAACAAACAGAATATACAAGAGCTCTCAAAACTCAATAACAAAAAAACAAACAATCCAATTTTGGGGCTGGGGATTTAGCTCAGTGGTTCCACCACCTGCCTTGCAAGTGCAAGGTCCCAAGTTCGATCCCCAGTACAAAAAAAAAAATTGGCCAACAGAAACAAACAAAAAAGAAGAAAGGTAAAAAACTCCACCACCTGATGAAGGGGCAGAACCACACCAATCATTGCCAGGGGCAAAACTCACACTAACCCCTCAATCCTACCCTACACCCTAATGCTTAAAACCCTCACCACCAAGCCCCTAGGAAGAGGCTGTATACTCTTCTCACTGGCCTGCTTTCACCCTGTAGAGTATACTTTCATTTTTCAGTTTTGTTTTGTTTTTATATAGGGTCTTGCTACGTAGTTCAGGCTGGCCTTCAACTCACTATGTAGCCCAGGCTGTCTTCGAACTTACGGTGATCCTCCCTGCCTCAGCCTCCCAAGTGCTGGGATTATAGAAGTGTACTACGACATGTGGCTTGTACTTTCATTTTTCAACAAATCTTTGATCGTGCTTTTCCTCTTGGGAGTCCTGCTCAATTCTTTTGTCCAGGACATCAAGAACCTGGACAAGACTCCAACTGAACACAGTGCCTTTGCACTGATCTACATCTCCAGCCCCTTTTATTTTGGGGGACAGGGTCTCACTAAATTGTCCAGACTAGGCTTGAACTTGTGATCCTCCTGCCTCAGCCTCCAAGAGTGCTGGAATTACAGGTATGTGTCACAATGCCCAGTTAATTTTAGTTGTTTCAAAATCCTAATCTGAAGCTAGATGTGATAGTGCATGCCTATAATATCCCAGCACTCTGGGAGGCTGAGGCAAGAAGACTGTGAATTTGAGCCCAGCCTGGACAACTCAGTGACTGCAAGAGACACTCAAAAAACCGAAAACAAACAAACAGACAGACATGATGTAATACATAAAAGAAACAGGTAAATAGCCCTATAGTATAAAGTTTTACATTTATTTGGCTTGGGGGAGTTAGATTATTCTCTATTTTCTATAGCTATGGGGGTCAAAGGTTAAAATTTCCTCTGGGATCCATGATTTTCTTTCTTCTTGCTTTTTTTTTTTTTTTTTTTTTTGAGACAGGGTCTTGCTCAGTCATTCAGGCTGGGCTTGAATTCACTATGTAGCCCAGGTCGGCTTTGAACTCGTGGGGATCCTCCTGCCTCAGCCTCCCAAGTTCTGGGATTAAAGCATGTGCTACTCAGCTCTCTCCTTGCATTTTTTAAAATTTCCCTAGGGACTTCTTAAGTAGAGGCTGAGATGCACAGTTCTTTCCATTGTGATCCTGTTATTATACAGGAGCCCTACTGCTGTAAGATGGGGGAGAAGGGAAGCACTTTATAGTCTTATGATTAGGTCTCAGTCTTTGGTGAGCCTCTCCCCTGGACTTGTCTCTTATAAGGACTTCTCAGTTGGTTTTTTCTCTCTTTATTTGCAGCAAGAAAGCTAGAAAGTAGTTGGAGTTAGGTGTTTACCTTCCTCGGGTCTGTTAGGCTCTGGTAAAACCCCAGCCAACAGTTAGGCTCTGATTAAATAGCTCCTCTTGAGGAGAGACCTTGTTAAACAGAACAGAATGCAGCTGGGCCTGTAATCCCAGCACGATGGAGGCTGAGGCAGGAGGATTGAAAATCCAAGCCCAATCTGGGCAAGTTAGCAGTTTAGCAAAACCCTGTCTCAAAATCAATTTTTAAAAATTTAAAAAGGGTTGGGGGTGTTGCTTAGTGCAAAAGCCCTGGGTTCAATTCCCAGTATTCGAGAATGAGGGTGAAGGTAAGGCCGAGGGTGAAACAGGCTGCCAGTATGCTTTGGGTGTATTTTCAGATCAGCTACTTTTCCACTTCGCTGAAAGCACTAAGTGATTTTTCTTCGATTTCCACTGTGTGGCCTTGACTGGACTCCTAGAAATACAACTCACAAAATGGCGGCACTCTGCAGGGCTGGGCCCCCGGAATTAATTCCCCAGCTCACCCAACGGAGCTTCAAGAAATTCAATTACAATTTAAGTTTTCCCACCTTGGTACTGGCTCCCGTGGTGAGTTTCAGTTGTTGAGCTTTTACTCTTGATAAGCTATTACAATTTTCTACATCCACCTGTCTTTCTTTCCTGTTTTAAAGACAGACGTTCACCTTAGGACTTCAATTCTCTGATGGATCTAGAAAGTTGTTGGCTTCTTAATTTTCTCAGACTCTTTTTTCCCTCCCTCCCTTCCCTCCTTTCTTCCACGTCTCCAGCCCCTGACATTTCCTTGTCGTAAGGGTGAGGGTGCTGACTTCTAAGTTTCTTACATGCCAGACTAGAAAAACCTCATCTCCTTTTTTCCCTCCTGTGAAGGGAACAGGACGATTTTCAGGCAAGGAATATTTGCCAAGGGCCAACTGCTCTCTGTCCAAGGCTAGACCACACAGCAAGACCAAAGGCCTTGGAGGTGGAGGAGTCAGAGTAATGCGGGTACCTTCCCTTATCCAGAAGCAGCAGGGCCCCTCAGGCCTGTCAGGAGCCTCTCCTAAACTGGGCAGGCCTCTACCCTAATAGTTCTGTCGCAATCCGGACTCTCTGTCTCTCCTCTTGATCATCAAGTAAAACCCAGAGGTCTAATTCTAGAACTGGGTCTGAGGGAGAGGCTCAAGAAAATTATCTCTAAAACAGTTCTTAAACTGAGATACACCACAGCCCAAACAGGGGTCTGGGGACCAGGGAAAAAGTAAGAAATCAGAGCAGCCAAGAGAAGGAGGTCTGGCTTGTCCCCCCAGGAGCCACACACAGGGTGGACCCCCACCTACTCCCATTCTATATTTTGGGGTGGGTGGGGCCTGGGACAGAGTGGACCCTTGCAAATTGAAATGAAACTCAACCTATCAGGCCATTGTAAATCCTGAGAAGGGTGTGTGGAATCCTCAGTGCACATTTCCTGGCACTGAGCAGCCTCAGTAACTCCTTGACCTGAACTGATCCTCAGGAAACCCAGGGCACCATACTGGGCATCACAACAAACAAGGGACCAGCCCACCAGCTTGTGCACTAATTTCTTCTGGCCCTCCTCTGCATGGGGAGTGAGACAACAACCTTTCCCTATTTAGGCAAATGCTCCATCAATGAGATTCAGAGACATGAGCATCAAGAAGATCCATCTTGGGCCGGGGATTTAGCTCAGTAGTTCCCCCACCTGCTTCAAAAGCAGTACCAAAAAAATAAAAAAGAAGAAAAAGATCCATCTTGCTGGAAATGGTGTTGCACAACTATAATCCCAGCACTCTGGGAGGCTGAGGCAGGAGGATTACAAATTCAACCACAGACTGGGCAAATCAGCAAATCAGCAAAACTCTATCTCAAAAAAAAAAAATTTTAAAAAGGACTTGGGATATAGCTTAATAGGGATGTACCTCAGAAGGCCCTGGGTTCAATTTGTAGTACTTCCAAAAAAAAAGTTCATCTTCTTTGGAACAAGACAATGAACAGCATGAACCAGGAAACCACAAAGCCCAGCCCAGAAGTTAAGAACCCAGCCAGGAAGTAGTTGCCCTACTGGGTGGTCCCATAGGGATCAGCACAAAGCAGTAGCTGATGTAGATCCCCTCAGAAACAGGGAAGCCAAGGCGAATGCAGATGTGTGGGACAGCATACTTTAATTGAGGTGCAAAAACAGTGACCCAAGCCTCTTCCAGTTACATGATCTTCTCTCTTCTCCTTAGGACATATTCAGGAAGGAGACCTGCTTGCCAATGAGAACCCAGAAATCAGTCTCCATCTGTCCCCGAGCTGTTGTGCAATGAGAGGTTCAGACCCCTTGCTCTGGTTGGCCTGAAAGCTGTGTTCAAGTATTTTTCTTGAGAACAGGACTTTTCTCACTCTCATATGTAGTTTGAGATCCTGGGTCTGGGGGACACCTGGAATCAAGCAGCCTTTCCACTAGTTCTTCACTTGGATGGGAGCACTCTCCCTAGGTGTCTGCATGGCCAGCTCCCCTACATCCTTTTTCCTCTAAGCCTTTACTGAAATTTCACCTTCTCAATAGGCTACGCCATTGCAACCCACCCCATGCCCACCCCTCAGCATTCTCAACCTCCTTTGCTCTATTTTTCATAGTTCTTATCACTTTCTTTTTGTCTTTGTTTTTTCTGCAGTTTCAATATGATAACGCCTAGTTATAGCATTATTGTCTTTATTGTCTGCCTCTTAGTATTTCTAGAATGTACACATTCCAAGAGCAGAGATCGTTGTCTGTTCTGGCCACTGATACGCTATGCACGCGGAAATGGCACAGAAGAGGCACTGACTAAACAGTTTTGAGTGTGTGGTGGGGAGGCATCTAGGTTCTGTCCAGCCACACACTGGCCAGCTGTGAAGCTTTAGCTCACAAGCTGAGGCAGTTTGCTTCCACCCTGGCCCCAGTCTCAATATCTACCCCACGAGACTGGGATCCAAGCATCTCCCTTGCTGGACTATGCGCGTGAAGCATCAGGAAGGGTGCTGGCCACAAGTTAATGGTTAACAAGTGGGCCATCCGATTACTGCCCCACTGAGACCCTTCATCCTCCATCTGCTGTAAGACCCCTTTACTCAGGGGTCATCACTAACACTTCAGGCCAGGGCGTCTGAGAGATCAGCCAGTAACGAAACCAATTTCTCCGACTCTTTTTCAAACAGATTTGACCATGACCCCTTTTCATATCACACCCATTAATATGTACCTGAATTCCTTGAAAAAGCTGTCCTTGACCACATAGGAGCATCTAGTTGCTTAATGGTTCCATCGAGGGTCAATCGATGACTCTAACCTGTTGTGAAGAAATATCCAAAAATTTTTAAAAGCCCTATAACACAAAACAGTTAATCACTTCTTTTTTTTTTTTTTTGGTACCAGGGATTGAATTCAGGAGCTTGCACTTACAAGGCAGGTGGTGGAACCACTGAGCTAAATCCCCAACCCAGTTAATCACTTCTTTGTTGTTTGTATAGCAAAATCTGGGGGGAAAAAACCTCAAGTACCTTAAAATACAGATTGAGAAAATATTATTCTGTAACTGTGTTGTAGAATATTAGGTACCCACTATTAATATTTCTGAGTAAAGAGCTATGAAAATGTTAAATGATTTAATTGAAAAACTGTACATACTGCACAATATCAACTACATACAAGGTACGCACAGAAAAAAAATACGGATTTAAATGTCTTGTGGGCCTAGTAATACTGCAGACAGAGCTCCTGAAACCCTCCTGCAATACAACACTTAAAAATACTTTATAGAACATTTTTAAGTTCTCTTGCTTGATGAGCCTACAAGAAAGTAAAGGCCCGTGGAATTAGGAGCATGGTCACAGTGGGTGGACAGTGAGCTCTGAAGGGGATAAAACTCTGGAGAAGCCTAGAATGGTGGCCCTGAGCAGGGATGCCACCGCTCCCCAGGGAGCAGCTAGGAAACAAGTGCGGGGCGGTTTGGGTTATCACAATTGGAAGTTATCCACAACATTTAAGGGGTGAGAGGTCAAAGATGCTGGACACCCTGAAAGGCACAGGGCACCCCTCCTCCTATTGTCCTACACTCCTTCATGTCCTTCAAATGGATCTCTTGGCCGTGCTGTAGGTGGGACATGTTTACCTAACCCTATCTACATGATTTTAATATATTTACATAAGACCTTTCAGGAATTGAACCACTGTGTAAATTAAGGGAAAACTAAACCTTTTTTAATTTGGAGATTTTTCAAGGATTGTTCACTATCATGGAGAGCAACACTGCCAATGGTGTGCGTGGTATTCAAGTCATTGATACAACGTTCTCGTATCAGTGAACATTTCTGGGGTTTATACCTGCAATGAATCTGTAATGAGGGGTTTGGATGCTGGATTACTTCATTACATCTTCTAGTAGGGTTGACTCTGTACTATATTAAAATACTTTAAAATTTTACTATAAACTACTTTTACTTTCTCTTCATATTATACTTATAGAATACTGATTTTTATTACATCTTTTTTTGTTGTTGTTGAAATGATATGGAATCATGTGCAACTATCTATAAATTTCATTGAAGGCAAGTTATAAAATATTTACACTTAGCCAAACGGCTAAGTGATACAAAACATTTATAAAATATAAATATTTTTTACAAATGTTATAAAAAGGGTTCAGTCTGAGGTGGCTGAAAATCATAGTAGTAATATCCTCCCTACAACTTGTTTTTCTCATGTAAGTCTTAGAATTTTTTGCATATGTAGCATGAGGGTACCAGTTTATGTATTTCCTATCAATGGACATACAAGTTATTTCTAAGTGTTTATTTGTCTGGAGACAGGGTCTCACTGCGTAGCTCAGGCTGACCTCCAACTTGCATCCATCCTTCAGCCTTAGACTCCTGAGTGCTCAGATTACAGGTGTGTACCATCACGCTCAGCAGTTATTTCTAAATCTGTACTGTTAGAAACAGTGAATCCCATGAAATCTTCCCATGTGCATTTCTGTGCACATGTGCAAGTATGAAATTGCTATATCAAGAATTTTAATATTTGTAAGTCTTTGCAGATGAAAGCAGTTTCTCATTTCTGGTCACATTTTCCTAACATTAGTCAAGTTGCTATCTTTTCAAATATCTTTTAGCCATGTTATTGCCTCAGTTAACTGACAATTCAAACTTTTTGTCCATTTCTTTTCTTTTGAGTGGTTTTGTAGCTCTTCAAATGTTTTGACTACAGGGCCGGGGATTTAGCTCAGTGGTGCTGCCACCTGCCTCAAATGTTTTGACTACAAATTTGTTTGGGTATATATATATATATATATTACTTGCTCCTAGTCGTTACCTACCTTTTAAACTTTTTGTCATACAGAAATTTAAAATTTTGATATAGTGGGGCTGGGGATTTAGCTCAGTGGTTCTGCCATCTGCCCCACAAGTGCAAGGACCCGAGTTTGATCCCCGGTACCAAAAAAAAAAAAAAATTTGATATAGTGTCATTTGATACTCATCTTTTATTGCTTTGTTCTTTTAGTCTTCTAAAGGCAGCTTTCTGTACTGCTAGACATCATTTTAACAGCTAGGGAATACTCCATTGTATGGCTATATCATAATTTATAAAATTATCAGTATTAGAAATGTAACTAACATAAAGAAGGTTGTGAAAAAGAACTGTGTTCAACGTGGTATTTTTAGTACACACCTCAGGGCCTAGCAAACAAAACATAATAAATGTTCCTTGGATAGAGATGAGGAGAAAAGCAGAAAGGTTTTTTTCAAACTCACATTCAGGGTGTTTTAAAAAACAGCCCAACTGTCAGCTAAGTTATTGGGGAATTAGCCCTACAGTACTACTCTTCCTTTAGCCCAGCTAATAAAGAACTGGCTCTGCTTTTAAAATGTAGGCCTGGAAGTAAAGCTTAGCTCCTCCGCTACGATCGCCATTCCACAGGGAGGGGCACCTACCTGCGCTGGGCCTGTGATCATATACCTAAGGCCTCCTTAGCTTGACTTCAATTTTAGGGTGCTACTTTGCCCGGTGAATCTTCAAGGTTTACATGTCGGGAGGTGAATGGGCCTGAGAAGATGAGGAAGAAGAACCCCCATATCCAGGACTCTGGGCTGCCACAGACTCAGGACGTCCAACTCCAGAGTCGGCCAGCGGGGCTCTGGACCCGGAAGGTGGGGTTTCCCGTCCAGAAAAGGGGGCGCTAAACCCAGTAGGCGGGGCTTCGTATCTGGGAGGTGGGAACTTGGATCCTCCAGGTTGAGCTCCGTATCCCGGAGGCGGGGTTTCGTATCTGGGAGGCGGGGCTCCATAGCCTCCACGTGCAGCTCCGTAGGCCCCTGGCGGAGCTCTGTATTCGGGAGGCGGGACACCATATCCCCCGAGTGGAACTCCGTAGCCGGGAGGCGGGGCTCCGTAGCCCGCAGGTGACGCTTCGTATCCAGCAGGTGGGGCTCTGTATCCCGCAGGGGGCGCTCCGTATCCTGGAGGTGGAACTCCATAGCCCATAGCTAGGAGTGCCAATGAGAAGGAAGAAAAGTTCAGTTACTCTGAGGACGAGGAATAAGTGATAAAGAAAAACAGAAAATAATGCTAAAGTCAAATAACAGAAGAGAATTCACTCAGAATAATGCTAAAACATTTCTTGTAATCACCACCAGCTGAAGGCTTTATCATTGTGTGTTGTGGAGAGTTTCAAATTAACATGAAAACAACCCTATCTGTACATATTTTCCTTAATACAGTTTGTTTGATAATGAATAAAGTAACATGCTCAATGGGGAATATTTGGGAAATGAATAAAGGTCAATAGATAAAAAAGGCACCTATAATTCTATCACCAAAGACAAATGCTCTAATATTTTGACATTATTTGTAGACTCTCTGAATAACTTTCATACAATCGTGATCATATTGACTTTTTTTTAATATTGACTTTTGTTGTTCTTGTTTTGATACTGGGAATAGAACTCTGGGCCTTCACATTGAGCTATATCCCCAACCCTTTTCTTTATTTGATACAGGGTTTTGCTAAGTTGCCCAGGCTGGCTGGAACTTGTGATCTTCCTGCCTCAGCCTCCCAGAATGCTAGGATAATAGGTGTGTGCCACTACACCTGGTTGACCATATAATGTTTTACCTAATTTTTTTCTGTTGTTATTACAAGAAATTTCTTTATATAATTAATTTACTTCATACACTAAAAGCTGGATACTATTTTATTGTATGGATAGGTGCTACTTAATTTCTCCAATATCAGAGAGCATGTTGTTTCCAAATTTACAATTAATACTACAAGACATATGGCTTTCATTTCCTTGGCTATATTCCCCAAAGAGATTTAACTGGGTCAAGGTGAATGGATAATTGTAGTTATTTTGCTGTAATCCATATGTATGCTTAAGCTCACAACTTATAATATAGTAGATGATAAGTAAATAACATTTCATTCATTCTTCATTATGGATCATTTGTCTTTTTTTTAAAAGAAACCTCCAAGTATGTAAATGAAATAAATCAGATAACAATTTCAATCAAGACCTTGGTGTTCAAAGCAGGAAGCTCCAAACAGGATGATGCCTCAGTAAAGTGTGTCCCCTCTCACACCTGCCTCTTAAATTAACAAGCCACATAAACTTGAGGATATAAAGGTAGATGTATCTCCTATTTCATATTTCTAGAGGGGGACATGTTAAGAACTTGGAAGCCATCATTTCCATCCTCAAAACAACACCAAAACTGAACTGAAGCTGGGTGTAATGGCACATGCCTGTGATCCCAGCACTTTGGGAGGCTGAGGCAGAAGGATCACAAGTTTGAGCCCAACCTGGGCAGCTTAGTGACTTAGCAAGACCCTGACTTGAAATAAAAGGGGGAGGGGTGACTCAGTGCAAAGGCCCTGGGTTCAATCCTTAAAACCACAAAAAACAAAACTGAAACTCCATGATTTTCCTACATCCATCAAAAGAATTGAAGTCACAGGTCACAGGCAAGCCATCACCCAAAAAAATACCCAGGCAAATACAGAGAGTTGCAGTAGAGATCACCTTCCCTGGGGCAGGAGCCAGTACCTGGACTTCAGTACAATAACAATGGCTTAGAATTGAGAAAAATGCAAGATGCACACATTACTTGTGAAGGAGTTCTTAGGGAAAACCAAAGACAACAGAAGAAGTTGGGAAAAGAGAACCAGAGGAAACTGAAGCCTCTGGTGCCAAAGCAAACACTAAACACATCCTAACTGCTAGCCAGTAAAATAAAACTTCACATTAAAAACCTTAATTCCTCAGTTTCTATGACTTTACTACATCATGCCTAGCTTTCAACAAAAACCATAGGGAGGCAGCTTAGGAAGCAAATCAGTAGTAGAGTGCTTGCCCACTACTGGATCCAATCCCCTATAACACACACACACACACACACACAAAATAACAACAACAAGAAACACACACGGCATGATTAAAACATACCCTGAAGAGACAGCCCAAGCATCAAAACTAGATTCAGCTATGACACAGATTTTGGAATGATCATATTGGAAAATTATAATAACTATGATTAATCGGTCAAAGGCTCTAAAGAAAAAAGTAGATAACACGCAAGAACAGATGGGTAGTATAAGTAGGGTGCTGCAGTTTGGAGCTTTAATGTCCCCAAAGGTCCATGTGTTAAGGGCTAAGTCCCCAGCATGGCACTATTGGTAGGTGCTGTGGACCTTTAGTGAGGAGAGGCCTTGTGGGAGGTCTTAGGGGGTGGCCCCAAAGGATACTGCGGGACTTGGCCCTGTCTGTCCCTATCTGTGCTTCCTGGCCACAAAATGAGTGTTTTTGCTCCACCTTGTGCTCCCACCATGATGTGCAGCCTCGTTACAGGCCCAGAATATTAGGGTCAATTGACCATGATCCAGAACCTTTGAACCTGTGAGCCAAACAAACAAACAGAAAACCATTTCCTTTATGAGTTAATTTTCTTAGTGACAAGGAGATAGAAACTCTAAGAAAAAATCAAAAGAAAATACAAGACATTAAAAACAGAAACAGAAATGAAGAATGCTTTAATGGTGCTATGATGTGAATGTTCGCATCTCCCCAAATTCACATGTGGAAAGCTAATCCCTAACATGGTGTCTTAAATGATGGGGTTTTGGGGAGATGATTAGGTCATGAGGGCTTCTCCCTCTTGAATGGATCAGATTTGTCACGGGAGATTGTGTGTCCCCCTTCCACCATGGAAGTCCATGAGAAGTTTCCATCTATGAGGAAGCCACCCTCACCAGATACTGAATCTCCTGACACCTTGATCTTGAATTTCCTCACCTCCACAACTATGAGCAATAAATTTCTGTTATTTACAAATTACCTAGTCTAAGGTATTTTGTTATAGCATCATAACAGACTAAGACTGGTAGGCTCACTAGTAGACTGGAAGTGGGTGAGGAAAGAATAAGTGAGTTAAAAAGCACCTCAAACTGAAATTCAAAGAGAAAAAAATGGAGTGGTAGATCTGAGAACTGGGGAAATTATAAAGGTATAATATACATGTAATGGGATAGCAAAAGGGGAAGACAGAAATAAAAGAAAAATTTAAAGTAGGACTAAGAACTCCTCAAAATTAACGATAGAACTGAAACCATAAGTCTAGGAAGCTCAGAGAACACAGATTAGACAAATACCAAAATATATACATGGGCATATCATATTCAAGCTGCCAAAACCAAAGACAGAGAGAAAACCTCTTGAAAAGACCAAGATTTAAAAAAAAAAAAAACTTTACTTCAGGAAGAATAAGGATATGGGTTACTCTGGACTTTGTTAGTAACCATTCAATCAAGAAAAGAATGGAGTGAAAATTTTAGAGCATTGAAAGACAAAGAACAAAACCCTGGATTTCTTTTTGTAGCCAGGAAAATTACACTTTACACTACAGTGGTACCTCAGTATTCATTAATTGTTCCAGAAGGTGCAATGAATACCAAAATCTGGAAAGGATCTCTCATCATGAGGCATTCAACACTGACAAGTTCTAGCTTATGCACTGCATACCAAACAAATGGTGACTATGGGGACAAAATTCTCGAGTCAAAAGGCATCAAGTACCAAGTAAACCAAGTTTTCAAACCAGTCGAGTACAAAAGTATGACTGTAAGAAATAAAGAGTTTCTCAGACAAACAAAAACAGAAGGAATTTGCTGCTAGAAGAACTTTTTTGCAAGAAATGTTAAAATAATTATATATATATATCAGAAGCTCGGGGTGGGGGATATAGCTCAGTGATAAGAGTCCTTGGAGATTAACAACAACATTTTTTGATAATGTGGATCAAAGAAAACTCAGCAAGAGAAAATTTTAAATATTTGAAACTAAGTGAAAATAAAAATACAAGTTATCAAAATCTGAACAGACTAAAATCAGTGCTTGGAGAAGAAACTTATAGCACCAAATGCACATATATGACAACATCTAAGCTTTCACCTTAGGCAACTAAAGAAGGAACAGCAACAAAAGCCTAAAGCAGGCAGAATAAAAAAGTAAAATTAAAGTTGAAATCAATAAAATTGAAAACAAGAGATCAATAGAGAAAACAAATTCAAATGCTGTTTCTTTGAAAAAAGTCGATAAAACAGGTAAACCCATACCTAGGCTAACAAAAAGGGAGGGGGGGGGACAATCAATAGAGAAGAGAAGGGGAGCAGAGGGATTTGGGGGGGGACAAAGTCTTGGTTTGTTGCTTAGCTTGGCCTTGAACTCCTGGACTCCAGTGATCCTCATACTTCGACCTCCCAAGTTCCTGGGACTACAGATGCACACCACTGCACCCAGCCCAAACTACTAATATCAGAAACGAAATAGGAAGCAACCTTCTTCGTGGATAATAAAGTAATATTGTGAACAATGTTATGTCAACAAATTTGATAACTTAGATTAAATGGACCAAATTCCTTGAAATACCCAAACTACCAAAACTCACAGAAACATAATTAGATATGGTTAACAGTCCCACATTTATTAAATAGATGTAATCAATTTTATAACTTTCCAAAAAATAAAGCACCATGGTTAGGTGGATAAAGAAGAAATTATACAAATTCTCTACACTCTCTTCCAGAAAATAGATGTAGAGGGAACATTTCCTAACTCATTCTCTGAGACCAAAAATACAGATAAAGACATCATAAGAAAAGAAAACTACACCAATATGTATCTTTCATGAAAATAATTGCAAATATCCTCAAAACAAGATTATTAGCAAATTAAATCCAAGTATGCCTAAAAAATTGTACACAATGACCAAGCATGATTTATTCCAGATGTACAAATCTGGTTCAACATTTGAGAATAAATCTAATTCATCACATCATCAGACTCAAGAAGAAAAATCATATGACCAAATCAAAAGACCCAGAAAAAGCATCTGACTAAATCCAATACCTAATTTTGACTTTTTTTTTTGGTACTGGGGATCGAACTCAGGACCTTGTGCTTGCAAGGGAGGCGTTGGCACCACGAAGCCAAATCCCCAGCCCCTAACTTTGATTTTTAAAAAATAAACATCACATGGAAAGTTTGGAATAAAGGTAAACTTCCCCAACTTGATTTTTTAAACTATCTACCAAAAAGCTACAGCTAACAGCGTAATTAATGGTAGCAAATTAAGATGTGTCCCCTGCTTAAATTCAGGGTAACAATATTATGTGAATCCAAGCTTAAGTATCTTATGGCTTTGCTTGTATGAGAAACCTAAAGTATTAATGAATTAAAGAGCAAACTAAAAGATAGATGATAATAGGAAACAGAGTGACAGATCTTTTGCAAATGGAAAGGAAGCCAGAAGATGGAAAGATGGAGGAGAGGGGGAATGAGGGGTGGAGAAAGGGTCACAAAAAAGAATTAAGAAACATCTTGTCCATGTACTAACTCCCCATGATGAACGTCATCATTAGGCACTGCAAACATGCACTAATGAGAAATTTTTTTAAATAAAAAATGTTATGTGAATTTTACTTCAATGAATTTTTTTCAAACCCCAACAATACTTACTTTTAGATTGTGAATATTGTGTTCTAACAATCTTTAGAAGCCAAAGTAACTATTAGGGTTATAAATAAATAGCCTCTGGTTGTAAACTAAATTAAAAGCCCAGGAGCCGGGGATTTAACTCAGTGGTTCTGGTGCCTGCCTCAAAAGCACAAGGTCCTGAGTCTGAGGTTTGATCCCTGGTACCAAAAAAAAAAACCAAAAAAAACCCCATGTCCCTGCACAGCATGCTCCAAAGAGAATCCACACAAGGCCCCACCTTTCTGAATCTCATGGCAGACCCTTTTCACCCCACCAGTAGGTAGCAGACCACAGCTGAGTCACTGATTTGTCACCCCAGAATCCTGACTCAGAGGCAGTGGACAAGTGCAAGTATTCAAGGTCACAGGGCAGAAGCTCATGGCCTAAGAACTCAGTGGGCCTGAAGGGCACGGCAGAGGCACAATGGCCCTGCTCTTGTGAAATGAGAAGGGGGAGAAAGCAGAGCGTAAGCATAAAGCTCAGCCTCTAAGCATAAAGTGACCTTCTCACTAACAGGAATTGCTCAGGTACGCTCTGTACTGAGATGCAAGTCCAGCCATTTGCTGACTTGATACCAGGTTTCAGTCTGGAAACAAAACCCTGGGTTTGACCATTTTCCAAACCCCAAACCTCTGCTGCTTCTCCTGCAGTGGAGTCGAGGCAAGGCTGCAGTGAAGGGATGTTTGGGCCTCTGGCATACCTTTCCATCTCTACTATACCTTACCTTGACAAGGTGTCTCTGGAGGGCACATGCTTCCCTGCCTGGTAACAACATACATTCTTAGAGGGTTGAACCAGTAATCTGTTCCAAGTGGAGCTCCCCGGGCAGCTGAGAAGACAAATTTGGCAAAATAGGAACTCTCAGTTCTTTTAAGTCAGATATACAGAAGCTGTCAACTGAATAATTAACAGAGTATTAACTGCCACCTCACACACATGTCCAACAATGCTCCTGGGATAAAAGATATAAAATACAGTGGACCCTTAAGTTACAACTGGCCTGAACAACTTGGGTTAATTAGGTTAATTGAAGATTTATCTGCCTCTTGTTATCTATAGCGGGTACCCAGGTAAACATCCAGATCTCAGCTGTATTGACTAGTTATGACTAGCCCTCGGGAACCAATCGAGTTTCTAAGACAAAAGTTCACTGTATATATGACCCTTACCCTGAACTCATGTTTCCTGAGGACAGAGGTTGTGTCTTATTTGCCTACGACTATTCATGGCCTCGCAGAACATCTATTACGACAGATATTCAGGAAAACCTTCCCAGTGACAATTCTATCAGCATGACCAGATACCCAGTGTACAGGTAATGTGGTACAGATGAAAGCATTTCTGTCTCCCTCCCTCTACATCTCACTTATAAGAATGCTCATGATACAGAGATTTAGCTAAGTGGTTCCACCGCCTGCCTCACAAGCGCAAGGTCCCCAGTACCAAAAAAAAAAAAAGAATGCTCGTGATGAAATTCAGGGCCCACCAAGATAATCTAGGGTAATATTATCTCATGATCCTTAGATTAATTATATCTACAAAGACCATGTTTACAGTTCTGAAAATTAGGACATGGATGTATCTTCAGGATCCCCTATAAATTGACCACACTGAATTCTGACCTGTGGCACATGAACAGAAGTAATGTACACAGCTTCTGGGTCTGGCCCATGAACACTTCCCAGGTGAGATCTTTACTTTCTTCTGCTCTAGGGCTGGGGATTTGGCTCAGTGGTTCTGCCACCTGCCTCACAAGTGTAAGGACCCGAGTTGGATCCCTGGTACCAAATAAAACTTCCCTCTCCTTTTCTGCTCTCTGCTGGCTACTCAAAGAGGTCATGGGAGCCATGTGTTAGAGAGGCTGAAATTCTATTACCCACTGTGCCTGAATAACTGCGGAACAGAGCCCTCTCTTGCCCCTGCTGATTGGCCTTTACACAGGCAGTAACATCTACTGTCTTAAGCATTGATAACTTGTGGTTTATCTATTTCAGCACCTAGCAGCAATTATCCTAACTCACTAGAAAGTTGCCCTCGTTACCCAATCATCCTCCTTTACCAGTGTCCTTTGTAGTGCTGTACTTCCCACAGTAATTATTCACTTGTATGTTTACCTATTTTTGTGACTCTCATTAGACCGTAAGTTTAATAAAGGTAGGGACTATGTATTCTGTTCATGGTTATTTTCCTGATTGTCTCATCTAAGATTTTGTACACAATAAATATTCAATGCATATCTGTCAAAAACATGACTCAAAGAGCCCTGACATATCAGCTCTACAGAGGGGAAGGGAATCTTTCCTGCTTACAGAATTGGTCCATGAGAAGGAAGTCTGTCTCACAAGCCCTGATTCTCAGGGTAGGGAGTTGGCAGTAGGTAGATCCCAATACCTAAGCCATGATATAATCAGACCAAAGTAGTTCCACATACTGGCTCAAATTCACACAAGTTGCCTACATCCTTTCCAAGTGGCTATGCAAGTTTTGAGATCCTGAACCTAGTTTTCCAGGCCAAGAAACAGATCTTAATGAGAGCACAAATAGGAGCTCCTAAAGTTGCCTGACCATTTGCCCAAAATTCTAAATAGAAGCCCTCTTCAGTACTATGAGGTCAAAAATAAAATGGAACTCAAGACCCAGTATGCAATTCTTCTGAGTTCCCAGGCATCTCTGTAGCAAAGAAGAACTGGACTTCCAAGTGTCCCTGATCCTGGATATACCATAGCTGTTCTCCTTCTGTTTGCCAGGTGGCCCTGTTTGCAGCTGCCAGTTATCCCATTTGCAGCTCCAGATGCCTTCTGTCCTCTGGACCACCAGACAGCAGTGAGTTGAGCACAGCTTGCGGAGTGCTTGGCCTTCCTGTCCTTGCAGTGTCTTTACAGGTAACTGTAACTGTCCTTGCTCCTCAGCCTCCTGTAATATGGCTCTTCTCCATCTTTTCACTGAGATCTCCTTCCGTATGCAGCGTACACTTTCCAGTCTGCAATTTACCAAGTATCTCTGAAGCAGCTCACCCCCATATTTCTTGAAACTTTCTTCTCCCTTGGCTTTTTAGACAACAGACTCACTTGATTCTCCTCCTCTCTGGCTCAGCCCCTTCTCAGTCTTCTTTGAAAATCACTCATTCCCTTATCTTCCTTTATTTTTAACCCTTCCTTTCCCTTACCTTCTATTCTCTTCCCTTCCCATCCCTTAAATTTTGAGGACCCTTGGAACTCTGTCTTCAGTTCTCTATGTAAGCCCGCTACACACATCTCCAGAGATGACCTGAGTGCACAGGGTTCCTGGTATGTAGATATAGCTCATCTGCGGAGCTCCAAGCTGCACATCCAGTGCCCCATGTACCTCACAATATGATGGAGGGCCTAAAAGTCTGAGTTCAAAAGAATACATTATTTATGTAGTATTCCTGCCAAAATGCACGGCCTGAATATAACCACGAGGAAAGAGATATAGCCAAATTAAGGGGCATTGTAATAAACAATAAGCCTGTGTTCTTTTTGTTTTGTGTTTGAGACAGGTTCTAGCTATGTAATCTCAGCTAGCAATCTTCAACTCGCAATCCCCCTGCCTCGGCCTCCCACATGCTGGAATTATAGGCATGTGCCACCATGCCCAGCAAACTTGTGTCTTTTTGAAATGCCAATGTCATGAAAGACAATGAAAGCCTAAAGTCCAGATTCAAGTGGACCAAGAAAATAGGACAACGAGGTTCAATGTGTGCTCCAGGATTAGGTTCTAGATTGCAGGAAAAGTGCTATTAGAATCAGGAACAGTAATGAAATAATCATTTGAGGTTGAATGTAAACTACATATTAGGTAATAATACTGTATCAATGCTAAACTTCTGAATTTGATAAACATTTGAATTATATTTAAACTACATATTAAATAATAATACTGTAGAGGGCTGGGGATTTAGCTCAGTGGTGCCTGCCTCACAAGCAAAAGGTCCTGAGTTCGATCCCCAGTACCAAAATAGTAATAATAATAATAATAATAATAATACTGTATTAATGCTAAACTGTCTGAATTTGGTAAGTATACTGAAGTTAGATAAAAGAATGACCTTGTTTTTAGGAGATCACATTTGAATATTTATTTATTTATACTTTTGGTACCGGGATCAAACTCAGGACCTTGTTCTTTTGAGGCAGGTGGCAGCACCACTGAGCTAAATCCCCAGCCCACATTTGAATATTTAGAAATGAAGAAAATGATCCTTGTGACTTAATCCAAATAATTCAACAAAAACAAAAGCAAAGAAAAAGAAAACAAACATGAAAAAATGGTAATAATGAGTGACTCTAGATGAAGAGAGTGCATTGTTATATTCTTTCAAATTTTTCTATAGCTCTGATTTATTTTTTCATAATAAAAACTTTACAAAGAGCGAATAGGTTTAGCTTCACTGTTTACTAAATATATAGTCTTGGAAAATTATAAAATCTTCAGTCACTCCGTTTCCTCAGCTATAAAGCAGAGATAATCATATTTACCTATATCACAAGTCTTTTTGTGAGCATTAAATTGATATATATAAAGAGCCTGGGATACCATCCAGTATATGGTAAACATTTACTGAGATTAGCCAGTACTATGTTCTAAAACTGAACTCACTTCCCTTCCAACTTAGACTGACTCATGTTCTTCACCATGGTTTATAGCATCAGGATCTATTCCATCTTCTAAGCTAGAAACTTCACACCCTCCTTCATGGCCCCCATATCACACCCATATCTCTACTGCAGCCCATGCCAGGATGTGTATCTGCACATCAGTCTCTACCAGGCTGTTTGTCTCAACTGGATTGGAGGAGGGAGTGGATGGCAACAGAGAAGAAAGCACTCCAGACCGAGTAAGTAGCATGACGGGTCCGAAGCAAGAGAGAATAAGGCACAAAGGAGTCCAGTGTGTTTCGGGTATAAAAAAGATAAGACTGCAAAGGGCATCCAGTGAGGCTGGATTAAATAAGAATATATCATAAAAGGATTACTTGTAGTCAGTGTTGGAAAGAGTTCTCTGGCTGGGTGTGGTGGCCCACACTTGTAATCCCCGCACTTGGGAGGCTGAGGCAAGAGGATCACCATGTGTTTGAGGACAGCCTGGGCTGCATAGTGAGTTCGAGACCAGGCTGAATGACACAGAGAGACCCTGTCCCACCAAAAATAAATAAATAAATAAATAAATAGAGTTCTCTGGTCCATCTATTAGATCAGCGTGAGGATGGTAAGTGGCTCTATTCCCTCTCATGGAAGACAAAGACTAAACCTGAGAGAAGTACAGGCAACCAGGGGGAGAAAAGATTGGAAGCTATGCCAGCGGAAGAAGAGTGAAGACAGCCAGGCTCCCTGATGCTAGCAAGTCCCCTCAGTGGAGCTACAGGACCAGGATTTATTTCCATAAGGTATAATTAGTCATTTTAGGAGTCACCTGGAAGCTCCCTCTACACCGAAGGCTCCTTCAGGACAGGGAGAGGCTGAATGATCTACGTGGGACCCGGCCCACACTGGGAGGCTCAGGCCCTGCCTGCAGAATACCCGAGCAAATCCCAAGTGCCGGACCAGAGGCCAGCAGACCTCGGCAGGGTGACGGTCCCCCGGATTCCTCAGAACCCCAAGCTGCTTTGTATCTGTTATCATTGCTCACCAGCAGAGGCAGCTTCCGTCATCAACTGGGCAAAGTGGATGGCACCTCCTTTCCTGAAGACTAATTTAAAAGTGGCCTGTCCTTCCCAGCCACCTGTGGGGAGAAACAGCACAAACTCACTTAGAGACCTCGGCTGGCAAAATGACAGTGCAAACACCAAGGGTAGCAGTTTGGATCCAACAGGAGCCACGTCTGAAGTTTCACCCTTCCACAGTCTTTTGAGGGGAAAGGAAGGGTAGCCACTCCTGAGGGGAAGCTCTTACCATCTGGAGCTGCCTGAATGGTGCCTGTAATGTAATTTGCCCCAAAGACTGGTTGTTCAACAGCGCAGTTCTTCATCAGATTAAAAGGCATCGTGAAAGACATCATGGGGTCACTGACTGAGTACGCCCTCACAAAAATCACCTAAGTGGAGAAAGAAACTTGGGAAAAGCAATACAGAGTCTGTCCAGGAATTCAGACTTCTAGAGCAAGGTCAAAGCTGCTGAGAAACAGCCCCCATTTTCTCCCGCCCCTCTTTAACGGGGAAAATCTCAAAGTGCAAATGTTTTAAATTGCTTTGAAAGTTGGTGTTTAACTTCTCTTGAGTTTGAAGGACAACAAATGCAGAGGGAACCAGTGGATCAGAGGAAACGGGGGAATTACCCGGTATGAAGTGAGAAACAATGTTCCCCTCTTTGTCCCAACGAAGAGGTTGGAGCCCTCTGGTTGCTGTGGGAAGGAGAGCTCCACATCCGAACACTGCTTCAAGAGACTGGTAGAGGAGGGGCACACAGATCACAGAATTTAAGTAAACTAGCAGACATAAAGCTCTTAGTTTCCAGTCTAGAGTAAGCACTCAATTGTAAATGTTAACTGCTGAACCTTTTTGTCTGTGCTGAGGACTGAACCCTAAGACCTCACACATGCTGTGCAAATGCCCCATCACTGACCTACATCCCCAGCTCTTTTTTTGTTTATTCTGAAACAAAAAGTCTAACTAAGTTGCCCGGACTGGCCTCAAACTTGAGATCCCCCTGCCTCAGCCTTCCAAGTTGCTAGGATTATAGGCATGCAACCAGCAACAGCTATTATTTTAATGAAATAAAAAGGAATTCAAGTGAACTTATTTTCTGACAATTCATTCTTCTCCCTCTTTACCTTGGGATCCACTTTCTTGTCAACTCTACCCCTATTCTTAATGTTTGTTCACATAAACAATTGTACAATAAGCGTAAAGCACTGGGCTAATGGAAATGTTTGTCCCTGGTAAAGAAAGGTAAGACATGCAGACTGTCTCAGCACCCTCTGTTGCTCCCCAGGCCTATCACATTCTCCCTTCACTCTTTACCTGGAAAACTTGAACTCATTCTTTTCTTGCTCATAGAATCGTGCCGAGGTTTTTTGCTTTCTTAATAATTATTATATATAATTTACTTGTTCAATGTCTTCCCTAATGATTATTAGGGACAATGACTGCTTTGTTTACTACTGTAGTCCTCCAAAGACTAAGTGTTACTAAATAAATATTTATGAATGAATGAATGAATGAATGAATGAATGAAAACAAGAATACAGGGCATCACAATGCAAGCAGTAAGTGATATACATCATGTAAACAGTACCAAAAGTCATAATAACTTAGGAAGAAGAGATTAGTTTTGGTTGAAGCAATTAGGAACATCACGGACAGGCTACATTCTGAGCTGATTCCTGAGAGATGGGTAGTTTTGGTAGGCAGAGGTGAGGCTAGAAAATGATTAAGATGGGGAGCAAATAGCACTAATGGAGGTGCAGGAGCAGACAATGGAAAGCAGGTTACATACTTTGGGGAAGCAGGGTGGCTTCACCAGAACATAGCATGGAGGTGAGGTTAGGAAAAATAGTAAATAAAGGTGAAGCCACGCTGGGACTAGAGCTTGGAGGCATCTTTCGACAGCCAAGAGGTAACTGTATGTGGGCTGTGGATTTCTCAGAAAGGAAGTCATGTGACTGAGGAGGAGGTGGTATAGGAAGGACTGATTTAAGAATTCTTAAAATAGTCCTGACTTAAGGTAAGAACTGGAGCTAAAATGGTAGTGTGCAGATAAAAGGGAGAGGATTTTTTAAATGCCTATGAAAGTATAGGATATCAGGAAAAAAATGGAATAGGGAACTCCAAATGTCTAGTCACAAAGCAATAAATAAACTGCCCAAAATGCGAGAATCATTTTTTTCAGAGCCCTAGAATCTAACCAGAAGCTTACAGACTCCTACAGACACTCCTGCCATGCCATCCACCATGATGAGATGCAGCTGACGCCAGGGCCATGCCCCAGAGCCTCCAAAACCATCCTAAACATCTCCTCCAACATTCATAAGCAGCAGTTTGAAGCGGAATCTTTTCAGTTTCAATAGAAACAGAAAATTAATAAATAGCAACTGACCACCCAGTTTTATTTCAAGAGAACTATGTTTCAAATAGTTGATACCTACCAACAAATACAAACTGACATTTGTTACAGTTCAGAGTTAAGAAGTCCTTCAAAGTCTCATGTGTTTAGAGGTGAGACTTTTGGAATGTCATTGGACCATGAGGACTCTAACTCCACCAGTGGATCAATCCAGTGATAAGATCCTGATTCAATGGGGTTGCTGGGCGGTGATGGAAACAGTTGAAGGGAGTGATCATGGGGGCACAACCTTGGGGATCATATTTTGTCCCTGGCCCCTTCCATTCTGTTTTTGTCTCTCTTTGATTCCCAGCTGCCACGAGGTGAGCAGCTTTCCTCCACCACACCCATCTGCCATGATGCTCTACCTCACCACAGGCCAAAAGCAATGGAGCCAGCTGACCATGGACTGAATCCTTGGAAACCATGAGCCAGAATAAATTTTTCCTCCTTTCAGTTGCTTTTTTTTTTTTTTCAGGTATTTTTGTCTCAATGATGGAAAGCTAACATGCCATCAAATACAAAAGCATTGATCCACCCAAAAAAGAGGTCATCAGGATAATGATGATATCTGCATGTGGCTTATCTACTATAATCAAACCCTGGGTGAAACAAAGTTAGGGAACACTTTAATTACAAATGAAGCAATTTGGAGAGAATAGTGCTGCAGCAACAAACTATCTCTATGAAGCAAAAAAAGATAAACCATCTAAACTTCAAGTTGAATTTGTTTATTTTGTTTGTACTTTTGTACATAAGGAGTTCTCATGGTTTTACAGAGAACTCATAACTATGCTGAATGGTCTATAGCAAAATGGAATGGAAATCCTTAGCTGATTTGTATGATGCAAAGACAAAGGGAACTGAAGAAAAGGTGAAAAGCAGGAAGTAGGAAATAGGACTGGAAAAGCTGCCACAGATTCTGGAAGTGGTGCCAATGACAATAAGTCAAAAATATGTTTATTCTTGTGATACCAACTAGTCTAAATTTGAGACATCATTTTACTTCCAAAGAGAAAGGAGAAAAATACTCAAAAGAATTTCAGCAAATCTTATTCAGCAAACCGGCAAGTACAGAGTAAGAAGATCTTTAGAAAAACTACCCCGTGACTATTAAGAAAATGTATACTGCTATGATGAAAGGTCAACAAAAGTGAAAAATAAGACAAAATAGAAAAAGTTTGTAGGAACTAAGGAAGTGTTTATACAAGGGGGTGGAGCTGAATCTCAGTAAGAGAGCTTCGTGGCGTCTTCTCCTTGTGTCATCTCATACTCCTCAGCTTGGCAGCAGCTTTGATTAATGCAATCTGCATTCCCAGTACATGTACCAAACACTGGAAGGAGCAGAAAGAATAATTATACATCTGTAGTGATTTTCCCACAATGTATAAAGATGCAATTTGTAATTGAGTGTGGTGGTGCATCCTTATAATCCCGGCACTCTGGGACGCTGAGGTGGAAGGATTGCAAGTTCAAGCCCATCCCGGGCAATTTAGCGATTTAGCAAGATCCTGTCTCAAAAGAAACTGAAAACGGGCTGGGGATGTAGCTCAGTGTGAAAGGCCCTGGGTTCAATCCCCAGAACCATTCAAAAAGAAAAAAAGATGGAATTTGTAACAGTAACAATGGGGATGGGTGGAGAGCCTCATAGGACCAAAGTTTTTGTATACTATTGAAGCTATGTTGCTATTAATTTGAAGTACATTGCTATAAATTAAGGCATTAAGTGTAATCTGCAGGGCAACTACAAAGAAAATACTAAAATGTAAATAGAGAGACAGGAAGGAATCAAAATGGTACTCATCTATTAAACATGAAAGAAGGCAGTTGTGGAGGAGTTGAGGAACAAAAAAGATATAGAAAACAAAAAATTGCAGAATTTTTTCCTTATTAAATTAAATGTAGACATTAAACTCTCCAATTAAAAGGTAGAAATCAGTAGAATATGATTATATATTTGCTAAAAAGCATGATTCCACCATATGTTGTCTACCAGAGAACCATTAGATCCAAAGACATAAATAGGCTGAAAGAGTAGAAAAAGACACGTCATCAAAAAAGAACTGGAGTTGCTGTATTAATATCAGACACAATGACTTTAAAACAAACATTATTATAAGAGGCACAGAAGATTATGAAAGGAGCATCCACCAAAAAGGAACCACAATTAAAAGTATCGATACCCCTATAAACAAAAGAGCCCCCCAAAATATAAAGAAAAGTCTAACAGAATTAAAGGGGAAAGTAATTTAACAATAATGGCAGCAGACTGCAATACCCCTGTGTCATAGTGGACAGAATAAGCAGAGAATTAATAAAGAAATAGAAGAATTGAACATAGATTGGTAAGGAAATGAAGGTTTTGAGTACCACCAATCAACCAGCCCTAACCAATATAGCTGGAGCACTCCACCCAGCCCTACCAGGATGTATGCTCTCAACTCTCTCCGGATGGACCACAATAAGCCACAAAAGTTTCTGTATACTAGTGAGACTAGTTAAGAATTCTTAACAAATTCAAGAAGATCAAAATTTTATAAAGTACCTTTTCTGATCATAATGAAATGAAATTAGAAATCAAGAATCCAAAGTAGGGCCAGGGATTTAGCTCAGTTGTTCTGGCACCTGCCTTGCAAGCACAAGGTCCCAAGTTCAAAAAAAAAAACAACTTCAAGGCCAGCCTGAACTACAGAGCAAGACTCTTTCTCAAAAAAAAAAAAAGAAAAGAAAAGAAAAACAAAAAATCCAAAGAAAACTATGCCACCAATATATGGAAGTTAACAACACACTCTTAAATAACCAAGGGGTCAAAGAAGTCAGGAGGAAAATTAGTAAATACTTTGTGAGCTTTTGCAATCCTAACCCTGATAAAGACATCTTAGGGTGGGATGAAAATGACAGAGTGTCCTTCACATTGCATGAAGTGGTTGCAACATTTCTCCATAAGCATGATTTGGATCTTATAAGTAGAGCCTGCTGAATGATTGAAAATGGACATGAATTTTTTTGCAATGAGGCAGTTGGTCACCCTGCTTTCTGCACTCAACTATTGTGGAGAGTTTGGCCATGCAGGGGCCATGATGAGAATGGACGAACCATTCATGTGCTCCTTCAGATTTAGCAGTATGATCACAAAGCAAGCAAAGAAACAGGTGTCATTTTTTTTGACAAGTTTGTCCCTCTGTTTTTTGGGGGGTTTTTTGGTACCGGGGATCGAACTCAGATCCTTGCGCTTGCGAGGCAGGCAGCGGATCCACTGAGCTAAATCCCCAGCAGGTGTCATTTTGATACTGCCTAGTTGGGACTTGTAACAGAGTATGTAACCTTCGTTTTTAAAACTGCA